GCTGTTGAAAAGGTGTTTGCGAACAAAAACAAAATGAAACAGCATAAAAACAAAACAAAATAAAAAAAATACAAATAAAAACACAAAATAGCTGCAATACGTTATAATTACGTCAATATGTTCCTAACAATATAGACATACATGCATATTTATAAATTATGATTAACTTACTGTAAAGCGACAGCAAGAGCAACAATTTAAACATACAATAATTCTTTAAACATAAGTGAGCAGACTCACACACTCACACACAGACACACACACACACACACACACACATACACTTGAATAAAAGCAAAAACATAAAATAATTAACACATATATAAAAATAGTTTAAGAGGCGCGTAACTAAATTAAATTTTATCATTGCTTAACTTAAGTTGCTTTTGATTTTAATTATAATGTACACACACACACACACACATATATACATATATATATATATAGATATATATATATATATATATATATATATATATATATATATATATATATTTAAATAATTTTTAAATTCAAAGCAGACTTTTTAAATCTATTAAAACTAAATTTAAAATGCAATTTAAGTTCCATTTCATTATTTGTAGTTTTTTTTTTTTTACTTAAAATAAGTAATTAATATACAGTAAATATATTTATATATATATATATATATATATATTTATATATATGTGTATATTTAAATATATATTTATATATATTAATATATATTAAGGTACATCATTTTTTCGTAAATAAATTGATATAAAAAACAACATTATTTACTTAACGCATGTTTCACTCATTTTTTAACTCACACACACACATACACACACATCCCTCACATTTGCATCCAGTTTGACTCGCGTTAGCGAATTGTGAATCCTTGAGCTTTCTCAGACCATTTCATATAAATTCAAATTATATTAACTCTTATGTATTTGTTAGTTTTGTATAACAATTATATCTGGACTAAAGGCCAGTTAAAGAGCTTGAGCTTGATTTAAAATATATGAAAAAAGTAATAATAAAATACGAAAGAAAATAACACACACGAGAGAACATCCGAAACACAGTAATAAGGAAGGTTAAAAAATCGATATATACATATACATATATACCTACATATATATATATATTTTTTTTTCGTAGTCGAAGCAAGTCGAATGTAAAACCTAAAACCTTAAACCAACTAAAAGCACTGAGCAACACTTATAGCCAACTCATTTTCGAGTTGTCCAATGCTGAATAATGGAAACAAGTCAAGTACTCGTAATGAATAATGAATAATGACTAATGAACAATGATTTAATAATGCGAGCAGCTTATATCAGGCACCAACAAATAGACGCAAACAAGCAGCAACAAATATTTTAGATGAGAAATTCAATAACTGACATACCCACACAAACACACACACACACACACACACACACACACACACACACATACACCAACACACGTACACACAATGGTAAATTAAACATATTTTAGGCAAACCCCAAAGGCAACAAAATTTATACAAAATTATTAAATGAAAGCAAAAAAGTTTATAAACAAAATATTTAAGCAAAGCAAGGCATATCATAGTTTATAAAAAAAAAGTAACCGAAATACACACACAAACACACACAGACATTTCCGAAAAAAAAAACATACACAGAACAGGAAAATTCCCAAAGCAAAAATCGGTTTTGAATATCGAAATTCAATAGCACACTATTTAGCAAAAAGGCTAAACGGGAGTTACTAAGGACCCGAAACTTGGAGTGTTATGAGAATATGTTGTAGAAAACAAGAGAAAAGAAGAAGAATCAGATAAACAGGCTAGACAGCGCTAGGTAACAAGTTTAACCTAAGAGGACCTAACAAAGAAAAAGAAATACATACAATATATGATATGATATAGGGTCATGCATAATGCCTGCTATATAGCCTAGACACAGCGAATTCTAGTTGACGAAAGCGTAGCCGTTTTTAAAACAATGAGAAACAACAACAACAACTACAACAACAAATTAACAAACAAAACATAAACATACATTATGAGCGAGATAAAAAAGAACAATACAAAACTAACAAACAAACAAACAAACAAAACAAAAAAAGAGTAAAGAATGAAACACAGAACAAACAAAAAAAAAAGAACAACAGCAACAAAAACAAGATGAAAAGAAGGGAAAGTAAATTCTATATAAATAAAACTACTGAAAATAACGAGCATGACTTTTTATTGGGCAAAAAATCGAAGCGAAACAGTGGAACCTTGTCTGACAGTAATTTAAAGGTTTAATTATATGACAAATATCATAAATTTAATTATTTATTTAAATATTTGTAAGTGACAATAAGTGTAATTGCAGAGTATTAATTAGTAATTACTTTTTTAATTGCAATTACTCGAATAATTGATGAATTCCTTAAGTAAATAATTGTAATTACTTGAGCAATTACTTTCTAAAAATCTTCACTTAGTCTAATTGATTAAGCCAACTGAATAATTAATTTATTCAACTGATTAAGTATTTACAATAGCCTGAGTAATTACTCAATAATAAATATTTTAAGCTAAGAAGAGTATTCTAATTGATTAAGTTAACTAAGGAATTAACTTAATGAATTGTGTGAATACTTTTAATTACTTAAGCAATTCCTTTTTAAAAGCATTCTTCACTTAGTTAAGTATTTGAAATGATTAAGTTGATTGATTAATTAATTTAATATATTGAGTAAATATTTAAAATTACCTGTGCCATTATTTTTTAAAATATTGACTTAGTAAATTAGTTCAAATATTAATCAAATTTGAATTGCCCCCAAAGATAATTGAACCTTTAAATTGCTTTTGCAAAGGAATTCCTTGGCGGGGACTTGAGTAATTCAAGAAAGTATTTACAAATTGTAAAAGTATTTATTTATAATGAAAAAATACCTAAAAATTAAATTTGAGCTTCATCGAATTTTGCAACACTGGCTTTTGAAAATACCCTAGACAAAAGGGGCTTTTTAAATATTATAATCTTATACTGATTATTCGTTTTTTTATCGAGGATTCGAACAAATCGAAACAAATAGTTTTAATTTTGACTGTGAACATTTGAAGTATTCAATAATTTTTCAAGTTATGTCTCGAAACGCTGGCATCGCATACGTAAGTACTTACCGAGAACTGGCAAGAAAACGTTCCAAATAACAATTAAGTAAATAAAATAGGAATCTAAGCTAGCTGTATGAACTAGTTAATTATGCTTATTCGTCCACATTTTCATTTGCTATTTGGCTTGAGCAGATACTCTGCTTATATCGTATATAGAGTATGTAAATAGCGCACCGCATGCTCCGTTTCTGGCCTCAACTCTTTCTGTTTCCCACTCTTGACTCGTTGTACCTTGCCTTGAGTATGATGCACCAAAAGAGGCCACACGCACATGCAACAAAAACACACACACTCATTTTTGCCACTTGGCAGCAAATTGACTGGCCCCGCCCTTGACCCCCGCGACCCCCCCGTCACCCTGTTGATATACATTTAATATGTGCCACGCCCATTCTAATAAATATGCCTCTTTTTGCACAGCTGCTGCGCAACTTTGGCTCACCAATGAGCGCAATGACCGCCAACCGCTGCCCTACACCATTCGCGTTTCCATTCTCGCCACTCGGCCTGAGCCTATTCGACATTGATCCGTCCAGAATACTGAACCTGCTGCACCACCAGACCTGGCTGGCCGAAGAGGCATTGCGGTAAGTACGCAGCATGGCAACAAATGAAACACAATTAGAAAGCATCACAAACTCTTGCAGCACGCGCGGCCTGCTGACCGCACCCAAGGACTTTCCTCATCGTTTTACCACGCTAAGCGATCTGCTAACCAAGGACTATCAGCCAACTGGTGCCAGCTACGCGGCCAAGCAGCCACAGTCCACAACCAACCGTTCCAGCGATGCACAGTACAAACAGCAGCAGCAGCAGCAACAACAGCAACAATCGCAACAGCAACAAGCGCAGCAGCAACAAGCGCAGCAGCAACAAGCGCAGCAGCAACAACAACAGCCGCAACCGCAGCCTCATGCTGCCTTTGGGATGCGCTATGCCACGCCCACAGGCTTTTTTGCCCAATCGAAAAGCGTCAAATCCGCAGGCGCTCCCTCGCCCCAGCAAATGGCCAGCTCGTCAAGCATGACGACGGAAACACAGCTGGACAGCCAAACGGCGGACAACGATGATGTGACCATTGTGGAGCTGGGAAGCGAGCGCAGCGTGGTCACGCCTAACAGCAGTGCGCTGCTCTACAAGGAGTCGCTGGAGCAACTGCTGGCCCAACAGCAGCAGCAGCAGCAACAACAGCAACAGCAGCAGCAGCGACGGCGCGCCGCCAACAACAGCACGCCAAGCGCAGGCACTGCAGCTGTAACTGCAGCCGGATCTGTAGCTGGAGCTGGAGGCGTCATTGTGGATGCCAGTGGCTTGCGGCAGTATACGCAACTGTTGCTGTCCGGTGCCGGCACGCCGGTTAGCTGCACGGACACATCGAGCAGCTGCAAGGAGAAGAGCTCCTCGTCGTCTACCTCATCGACGCCGCCGCCAAGCGGCGCTCTGCTCGCCCAGCATCAGCAGCTTAGCCAAATGCTGAAGAGTCCATCGGACACGTGCTCCTCGCTGTTCAGCGAGCCCATCGAGGAGGAAACACGCTGTGTCGTTTGCAATGCCCACTTCCCAAATGTCTGGCTGCTGGAGCAGCATGCGGCACTGCAGCATCCGCACATTGGGCCTGGCGAGGAGAAGCCCTTCATATGCGAGCAGTGCGGTCAGTCTTATCGCTATCGCAGCGCCTATGCCAAGCACAAGGAACAGAATCATCGCGCACGCCTCCCCGCAGACAAGCTCTTCACCTGCGATGTGTGCGGCATGCAGTTCCGCTATCTCAAGAGCTTTAAGAAGCATCGCCTCAATCATGCGCTCGAGCGGCTCCACGGCAAAAAGAGCATTGGCGCTGGTGTCGGTGTCGGTGTCGGTGTCGGCGTCGGCGTCGGCATGGCAACTGCACGCATGATTAGCGGCACAGCGTCATCGGCAGCAACATCTGCACAGGTGGAGCAGGATGTGGTGACCAGCTCACAGGAGCCGATGCTCGCCGACGAAGGCGAGGACCTGCGCATCAACGTTAAGCGCGAGGGCGACGAGTCAGCCGCTGCCGGCCAGCAGGAGGCCGCCAGCGAAGAGCACGAACAGGACAACACAATCGATTCGGCGGGCATCACAATGCTCTACAATGACAACAACTCATCGGCTTCGGCCTCCACCAGCGCCACGGAGCCGAACATCAGCAGCTCAGACGGTATACATAGTACAAACAAGCGGGTAAGACTCACGACATCTGCAAACCCCTAGCTCCTAGAGCGCAGCACTAGTAACTTTTGATATGATAATTAAATATAATTATAATTACATATAAATTAATTAATTATAATTAAAAGAAGACATCTCCCGACCTCACAGGGTATCTGTTCATAAATATATTTTCATTTTCATTTTCTCAGTATCAAAAGGCAAAATATGTATGTATGTATTTGTATATATGTATTTGCGTGTGAATGTATATTTGTATGTAGGTGCTTATGTATACATAATATATATACATAACTGTATAAATGTATAAACTCATGTATGTATGTGAATCTACATGTGTGTGTGTAATATGTAGGCATGTATGTATGTATATGCCTGTATATGTGTGTATGTATGCATAGACAAAATTAAATTCAAGCTGCGCTGTACATTTGAAGGCAACGTACTTAACATTGGCGCCTTCCTCCTCGATTTTCAAAAATTTAAGTAAGCCAGGCAGGTTTCCTTGCTTTGACTATACGTTTTTTTTTTTCTGAAAAAGTTTTGTGCTTATATTAAGGTATGACTTTGTATTTTTGGTGATGTTTGTATGTATGGATGTATGTATTCATGTATTCATATAAGTAGCCTTGTTTCTATGTGTGCATGCATGTGTGTGTGTGTATGTACGTACGTATGTAAGTAGTATTTTTGAGTGTTGCCTTACCATTCGTTTCTCATGATTACAAGTCTGTCTGGTTTCCTTGCTGTGAGTGTAAGTTTTTGAAAAATAACGCAAAGATCATTTCAGCTGATTTAATGAATATTTATTGATATCATAAATATTAAGTATGTCGCCAACCTAACTTGTTGTTATCTTGCAGTCACGCCTGTTGAACAGCGCACACCACTTGGAAACGGATCCCTCCTATCATCATCAGCAACACCATCATCATCAACAACAACACCATCATCACCAACAGCAGCAGTCGCAGTCGCAGTCACAGCAGCTGCCTCCACATCTGGCGCACGTCTCACTGCCAATGGCCAGCGCTGCTGCCGGGTCGTCCTCGGCCGCGGCAGCCGCTGCGGCTGCTGCAGCCGGTTGCAATACGAGCCCCAGCGCTGGCACAGCTAGCACTGCCAACAGCGGCGTGGGCGGAAGCGGCATCAGTTCGCTTAGTTCGCTGACATCGCTGATCAACGCGGAACGCATACCCAATGAGCAGTTCCTGGGCCTCAATCCGCAGGAGGCTTCAATACTCAATTTCTTGAGAGTCGATGCCGCCGAGCGACAGCGGGATAAGCGGTAAGTTCAACTGGTTCAATGGTTCAGAGTATACAAAAACTACTTAGTTCATGGGTGAATGCAAGCAAACCCGCGCGCATACATTAGATACGCTTCTTATGGATTATAAATCGAATTAAATGAGCTTCCATTGCAGACCCGCCACCTCGCGCTTCGCCTGCCCCTTTTGCGGCAAGTGCGTGCGCTCCAAGGAGAACCTCAAGCTGCACGTGCGCAAACACACCGGCGAGCGTCCGTTCGTCTGCCTGTTCTGCGGTCGCGCCTTTGGCGGCAAGTCGGACCTGACCCGCCATCTGCGCATCCACACCGGCGAGCGGCCGTATCACTGCGAGTCTTGCGGCAAGTGCTTTGCCCGGGCGGATTATCTATCCAAGCATTTGACCACCCACATACACAATGCGCCGCGCTGAGATGAGGCGCGTAGGAGGCGTCTCCTACGCAGATAAGCCAACAAACACACACGCACACACACACACACACACGCATACACTACACAGACAACACACTCAAACACCCAAGAGGCATACATTACAGGAAACATATGCAAATTTATGTATAGATCTATTATTACTACCATCATTATTAGAATTACAATATGAGAAGGCAAGTGTCCAATATTTTTTTTTTTTTTTTTCCTTGAGAGTAGTCACAAAGTTCGAATTTTTTGAGGAAGTCGTGAGGGGATAGATAGTACGAGCTGAGGTACAGTCAGCGCTCAGATCAACCATAGAGCAAATGTGTGTGCAGGGTTGAATATATATATATTTTTTTTTTTTTTTTTTGATTTTTTATCGTAATTTGTAATAAGGAATATTAACAACTATTAGCACGGGTATTAATGTGTTTAAGATTTGAAACTAAAACATAAAGAATGTAATTGGTCGAAGTGTTTTTTTTTTAATACGCAATTTTTTGTATATTTAAGTGAAGGTTTTTAGTGGAATATTTATGTGTATGCACTGCACATGAAAACCTAAAGAATTTTTTTAGGTTTTTAAGGGATTTCATTAGTTCTGGCAGCTGCAAAGCAACTAACTACAACTACAACTAAATGCAATATTAAATAGTCTGTTTTTTCTTTTGAATCAACAAAAATATCACCAAGTACCATAATCTGCCGTTTACACAAACTTTAAAACCTAATTTTACATTTTTTAAGTTCAACGAAAGCACAAAACAAATAGCTAAATGTATTGTACAAATTGAAAAACAAAAACAAAAACAAAAAAAAAAACAAAAAAACGGTAACAAATATAGAAAAACAACTAACTAAAAGAGTTTAACTCTGAGCTGAGACAGAAAACGAGGCGAGTTGGCAGCACCAATGCGGAAGAAGCAGAGCTTGTCCCAGCAGGAGAGTAAATAGAATGGGCAGAAAACAGAGAACAGCAACAATAACCAACAAACAATAAATAATGCAATTTATTTGTTTTAATTCTTAGCAATTATTATATAATTAATGCAACTAAATAATAATAATAGACAAACACACACTCACACACACCCACACATACAAACACACACACACTCACACATAGTGGCACACTGATAGACATGAAGAGGGAAACGAAAATCAAAAGAAATCCACAGAGGCATGAGACAAAAAATGTAAACTAAGTAAACTACTTACAATGTGTACTGTACATATATATAAATATGTAACTGATTATGTTTTTACCGTATGTGCTAGCTAAAAGCAAACAGACAACAAAAACAATACAAAATGAGAAACTTATTATTATTTATACAAATCAAAAAACAAAAAACTTAAAACTTAAAACAGCAAAGCAAACTGAATGAGGCAAAACCAATATATATTTTGGGCGGGAGTTTTGGGAAAAATTGGGGGATTTGGGGGCTTACGAACGTAGTGGGTCCTTTTGGAAGAGGGGGGTAGGGGGGTAGGTTGAGGCAAGAGCTAGAGTTACAAATAATATTTACTTATGTGCAACCACCGTCAATAGTTTAATTATTACATACAACAACAAATATACAAACAAATAGAAGAAAACACAATAACTAATTACAATAGAAATAACAATAACAATTACAATTACAAAACATAGGCATACGTTTTTTTACAAAACTACAACTACAACAACACAAACTAACTGTGATTCCAGCAACAAGAAAATAACAATTACTTACAATTTAAACTAAAAACAAAAACAATAGCAAAGCTAATTACATTTAACTATCACAAAACAAAAAAAACTGCAACTAAATATAAACAAATCAACCAACAATAGGCAAATTTAGCGGCATTTGAGCACAGCTTTTCACCACACACACACGCTCACATACCGCAGTGTGCGTGTATTGGTGAGCTTTTGACATTTCCTTGTGGCCTTTAGCAGCCAGCATCGCGTCGTGCGTGTATGTGTCTTGTGTGTGTGGCTCTCAAGTCTGCGCTCAAATGCCGCACGTAACGAAATGTGCAATTTTTTACAATATACACTTAAAGACTACTGATTTTTATATGCCCAGAAGCCGCTTAGTTTATTATTGCTCATTTCGCAAAAGTTGCAACAAGTTACCACCAAATAAACTGCACACTCACACACCCACACACACACACACACACACACTCATAAATCACATGCCACATGAGACAGGAAGTGAAGACTATAGACAGAAACCGAAACGGAAACAGAAACAGAAACAAAACACATACAAAATATGAATTAACAAATTTTGAACCAAGAACATCGAATTAAATTGTAAATGTAGTTTCAACATCAAGAGGCAAAAACATCTATGAGAAGTATATACATAGTATATACATACAAATATGAAATACCGTTTCCATATATACATACATATATATATATATATATATATATATATATATATACATACATATTTATATATATATATATACATATATATAAATATATTTTTTTTTAATGAATGTCGTAAGCCTGAAGCGAATACTTAAAAACAACATATTTGCCGTACCAAAAAAAACAAAACAAAACAAAAAATTTATAATAATAATAATATATAATAATAATAAACCTTAAACAAAATAAAATAATAGTTAAAAACAATTCAAACTATCGTCAAGCAGAAAAGAGAACTAACTAACACGCGCCCACTCACGAACATGTAAAGTGGTAGTAGAAAAGTTAAATGAAGAAAAACTTTCACTGTGCCAAAAAGTTTAAAGTACCTCATAATTTAAAGAAATATTAATAATGAAACAAAGAAAATATACCACAACACATAAACACACAGAAACTTGCCCACAGTAGTTAAATTGAATGTGCTCCTTGCTTAAAACATAAACTAAATCAACTCAAATCCGACTGCAATTAATTCAAATGCAATTCCGAGGCAGGTTTACAGTCAGTTAAACAAAATTAAGCAATGCCACGGGCAAATATGTGTACACGAGCGTTGTCAATAGAATAAAAGCTAAAAGCTCAAAGCTGCTGTTAAACTAACTAGCTACTTATAATTTACCAGCCAGTTGTAACAATATGCTTGATCTTTGTTGTTGTCAACAAGCTATAGACCAGAATGTATATTGCAAGTGTTAGGCAAAAGTTGAGATTCTTTAACCACCATATTATTCAAATTTCTCTCAAAGTCTTACACAAACTAACTAATTAATTTGTGAGTATTTTAGTTACTCTCTCTCTCTCTCTCTCTCTCTATCTCTCACACACTCTTTATCTCTCTCTCTCTCTCTCTCTCCCTGAAAATGCAAATAGTGTTCAATTGTAGTAAAATTTTGTGATAGTTTAACAACTTTATGTGCACAATTCTGTACTTTTTTTTATTATTTTATTTTATTTTTTGGTACATTTTTTTTAAAGCATCTATTTTTAATTGCTGATTTAATAATAGTTTAAAAAATATCTTGTGTAACAGCAGAAAAGACAAATCCTGCATATTTTTTGTTTGGAAATTTGTTCAATATCAATCCAACGAAATCGAAAGAAATATATGTGGATATATATATTATCAACGATCAGGGCCACTAGCAAATGTTTTAGTTTTAATTATATTATTTATAAACTGTATATGTTCTATGATAATTTTTTTTTTATTTCTAAAAATTGTTCAGCTTATTTCGGATTTAGTTTTTATTTATGTATTTCAAGCAACAAATGCTACTGCAACAACAACCACAACAACAACAAACACTGCCTTTTATTGAAAGCACAAAAACACACAGAAAACAAATTTAAAGCTATCTGCATAATTACAACATTTAGCATATTTAATTTTACAATTTCTCATACTTTTCTCTCTTTTTTGTGAACTTTCAAACATCACAAGTGAAAAAAAAATAAAAAGAAAAAAAAACACAAACCACTTTTATGTTCATTTTATTATATTTGTTGCTCAAGCTACAATTTCTTATTTAATTATGCAAAAAAAAAAAAGAAAATAGAATAAAAATAAATATGTAATTTTTTGAATTGACATAAATAACATGCTGTGAGCTATGTATGTGAAACGTTGATTTTTGTAACACTTATTATATTAAATTCTTATTATTTGATAGTATTTATTAATAAAGTTTTTTGCATTATACATTAATTTCTACATATATATTATATATATATATATATATATTATATATATATATATACACTTACATTCTGATGATTTTATTTATCTGCACAGAACCGAATCTTTAGACCCTTTGGAGTTTCTTTATGTTGGTAGTGAAACGCCTTAAACAAAATGAATATATTGAATAATAACAAAAATTAAAAATAAATAAAACATTCCATTTGGGTAAGGGCATTCAAGAGAAAGAAAGAAAACAAAAACTAGGTAAGCAATAAAGCAATATTAATAAACAAAATGCATATAGGTATAAAATTTAAGTAATTTTCCCCATTGCAAAAAACAAAAACAAAAAAAAATTATGGAAAAAAAAAACTTTTGGTGTGTGCTAAGCTAAAGGAATTCAATTACCACATAAATGTTAAAAGCTAAACTAAAACAATGGATAAAAGTTAATAATTTATGATTAGAGGAAAACATTTTTTTTCTAAGTACGTAGGAAACGGAGGCAGACTAAGAAGAGAATATTCATTTTGTAAGCCATGCATAAATTAAAACCAACAAATTGGAGGGATTCAAGACTCTTATTTCATATATACATGCATACACATATATGTATATATATATATATACATATATAATACAAATTTACCATATGTATATTTACATAATATATGTATGTAAGTTACAAGAATTTTTTTTAAGCATAACGCAAAACAAGGCATAAACAAAATGCAGGAAATACGTGTAACAAAAATATTACAAAATCCAACAACGAAACTTTTGGCATTAAATCGATGCATTTTTAAACAATATTTATTTATATAAACATAGAGATTAAATAACACACACACACACACACACACCAACACGCACACACACACACACACACACACACATACGCAAACACACAAAAACATTTAAGGAAAAAGATAAAGAGAAAGCAAAATTATTACACATAGAATATATATATATATATATACAATATCTATATACAGAACATGAATGTATGTACATGTGGTTTTCGGTGTCTATTACATATATAAATAGATATATATACAAATACAAATACAAGATGCAATATATGCATATACATACACAAATATATATACATATACATATGTATATAAACATAGCAATGTCATGCGTATTTTGAAGCAAATTATGAATGTTGTTTATTTGATTAACTAAAGAAACAAATCCCAATGGTATTCCCACCCACACACACGCACACACACACTCACACACACACACACACGGTATGCCCGCTAACAGTCGTATGTAATGCTATTTAAGTGCAGCTTCCGCTTCCGGTCTGTCCCTCACGGATATCATGAGTTTAAAGAGTTACGCGATCAGCTA